TAAAAAATACCCTAATATTAAAATTTCAGTGTGCAAAAGAGGTGATTTTTTACATTCGCATATTGCCTTTATAAATTGTATTATAAGCCTATTCATTGGCATACTGGCCGCAATAAATCGTATTACTCAAACGAAATGTTTTGAATTCTGATTCTAGCATAATCGTCCGAATTCCTACTTTAGATTGGCACAAAAATCTTGCAATCAAGTTCCTAGTTTTTTGGCTCGAAACAGCTGTTTGCAACAGCTTTTTCATTCGCGAACACGTGCATTGTGGACCGGATATGAGGGCGACGAGTGTATTTCGATAAAACCATATAAATAAGCTCAATACAAGCCAGACTTACATTTCACCATTATAAATTAGCACACCATTGCCATCTGGAGTATTGGAACTGTTGAGTGACATCTTGGAATGATACTGAAGGAGTAAAGAATGAATTTGGGAACGGTTTTCGACTTTGAAGGGCGAGAATAGCGGAAAATTGAAGGGGAGAGCGGACTAGAAACAGCGATAAACAACGCCAGTGGGTCGATAACACTGCAGACAGACGTATGACTCAAAGACCACGATAGTTCAACCTTAGTTTGAATAGCCATCCTTTAATAAGAAATATGGGGAGTTAGAAAGCTCAATGTGTGAACATTTACAAGAAAAATCAACTAAAACTGAAAAACACTACTATAATTGAGATAAAACTGCATTGATTGAGGAATAACGAGCAGTTTTGGCCAGCTGTACGTATATAAGTAATGACAGTATTGCAGTACAAACACACCAAACACTTCCCAGTCTTTTCTCGATGAATCCGTATTTGTCATCGTCATTCGTACTTTTTTGCCCCACCTTATCTGGATGAGCGGCAAATACGCTCGATCGACAGCGCTGCACTTACCCTGATTCTCAGGCAAGTGCGCCACATCTGAAATTCTCCGCGAGGGCGCTGCATAGTGACTTTTATCTTCTAATAAACTGTCATTGGGGAGTAATGAAACTTGCCAATCTCTTGTCAACTTGTCAGTTAGAGTAGCTGTCACTCTGAGTTTCGTTGACATCCAAAAACGATGTCAGCATAAATTTTATAGGATGCGATATTCTTGAGGTCATTTTGTTGGACGAAATATAATTTCTTTTTCATCATGTGTTAAATTCTCTCTTGTTCTCCAATCCGCATTCTTTTATCCTGGGGATGGGATTGGCTATCTCATGTGTTGTTGGAATTTTTTCCAATTTTTTCTGGTTCACTTTGAGTGGAAAGAAAAGAAATAAAAATAAAAATAAATTTGCGGCTTATTCAGTTATATTAATGTCCAGGTTTACATCAGGTTGTCCCATAAGCTTTTTCATATCTGATTTTCCACCGACATAAGTCAGTTTTTCTTGAATTCCTAATTTAATGCAGAGTACCATTCGACAAACCAGAGCACCAAGCTTGGTCCGCATTGAGATTCAAACCAAAATTAGAAAAATTATTGAAAAAAAAAGAAAAAACCTAAATCATGAAAAAACGAAGATGATCGTATCTCAGCTCAAAACAACTCTGCGAATTTCCCACTTGCTCACGCATGTACCCTCCCCCTCGTATATTTATACATAAACCTACTGCATTTTTCTGATTTCTAGAATTTGAGAAAAAAAATAATGAGCTGTTTTTTCAAACTTTGCTTGCAGCGGTTCTGTGTTCCTTACAAATATTTGATTACGTAGCTCAATCATTCAAATATACTGCCGCAAATTTACAAGCTTGCAGGTGCCGTAGTTCTTGAGGAATAGGAATTTGAATGTATGAATATAAAAAGGCTTATGTGACAACCTGATATTTCTTCCATATTTGCTACAGCCAACACATTTTTGGCCCATACAATTTCACTCAAAATTGTTCCTATGCTTCAAAGTGCTGCAGCGCTGATCAAGACCAAAGTAAAATTCATACTTTAACCTTACAAAGTTTCGGTGTGTTGCATAACCAGACCAAGTGCTTCAGCAAACTTTGAAGCAAACTAAAAATTTTCCCTTCATACTGTAAACCACCTACCCCTCACATGCGATGTTAAAGTGAGGCAAATAGGGCTGCGTTTGTGGCTTACATCATAATCTTTATAATATGAAAAAACGAATATGATCAAAAAGAAAAAAGTTACATGAAAAGTTGAGTTATTTATGTGCCAACCTATTGCACTTAGCTGTGTATGTATCAAATAGATGTATTAACTGCGTTGAACAAAGAGTACAGATTTGTTAGAAATTTCATTACCATCATTCAAGTAAGTGACATTTCAAGGGGCGAAATATCTCACTCCACGATCGTTCGCAAAACCTTCAGTGACAATGACCATTACTTAGAAGCTGTTATCACAATACAGATATTCATACAAAATTCGAAAATCGTTTGAAGATAGATGAACAATGAAAATCACAGCTATGTGAGTGGCATTTTTGATTTTTCTTCAGGGAAATGCATTTTACTCAAGGCGACATTTCCAGCGAGTAAAAGCTATCGAAGGCTCTTTGGACTAGAGGTTTGGGTCTATCTTCCTTATCCGCTAAGTGATTGATCAGAAATTAAGATGTTTACTCTACTGCGCTCGTATCTCAAAGCAATACAACATCTGACATGATAATGTATTGCAAAAAGGTCGCTTATCATTAAATAAACCGTAAATTCGGAACAAAAAGTTTTACGGCGCATTTGATGTTACATAACTGGATACCAATAACTTGTCAATCCATCTTGGGATTGTAGAATTCTGACTAGTATCTAGCATTTACGCGGTTTCTTAATTCTCGTACTGTACGAATACCGGGAAGAGAAACAGAAACGAATATATTATACACATTCAATAGAGACTTTTGGGACGATAACCGGTAGATGAAGAATGTGTCTTTACAAGTCTTGTACCGCGTAGGACAGCTAGAAGTGGATGAATGAGTTCTTGCAAATCCTGAAAATATTTGTTTTGTCTCACTTTACCTCACTGACAAACCTAAAATTTGATGCAGGACACTAGGTCTTCGGCGCGGCCAGCTACACGATATCTCATTTGCAGTGTCCGTTGCAGTAGCATCCTCGCGTTCCGCGCGGCCGCTTCGCCTGGATTCTGCGCAGCGTTCGAATTCGCCTCTAGATATTTTCCAACGCCTGAGGTGGCAAAGAACTCAGAGTCGTGCTTGATCGTTGAAAAGGCATGAGAAAATGGTCAAAGAACCGTTTGCGAAGGTTGTGTAAGCTTGAGCGATGCAGTTGCGAGGGACGCGAGCCGCTAATGCACCCGACAGCGCAACTGAGACAGCCTGTAGCATGACGCAAAACTGTGTATATATGCGTGGTTCGTTGCAAATGTCCGCGTGGGACCTCCCCTTCCGGCGACCTAATGCCCTGCACTCTCTCCCCCAAAATTTACCCTAAAGTAAGCTTCAAGTGATGCCATTCCATGTGAGAAGAACAAGTTGTGTTGCAGCTTCGGTATGTCGTTCGTTATGGGCACGAATCCAATGTTGTTCAACTGCAATTTATATTTCAAAGTTTATGAACGCATTTTGGGTTTTACTTACTTTGTAATACTCTACAAATGTGATATTAGCCAG